GTAGTAGTAGTAGTACTAGTAGTAGTAGTAGTAGTAGTAGTAGTAGTAGTAGTAGTAGTAGTAGTAGTAGTAGTAGTAGTAGTAGTAGTAGTAGTAATAGTATAGTAGTAGTAGTAGTAGTAGTAGTAGTAGTAGTAGTAGTAGTAGTAGTAGTAGTATGAGTAGTCGTAGTAGTAGCAGTAGTAGTAGTAGTATTAGTCGTAGTAGTAGTAGTAGGAGTAGTAGTAGTAGTAGTCGCATTAGTCGTAGTATGGGTAGTAGTAGTAGTAGTAGTAGTAGTAAGTCGTAGTAGTAGTAGTAGTAGTAGTAGTAGTAGTAGTAGTAGTAGTAGTAGTAGTGGTAGTAGTAGTAGTAGTAGTAGCAGTAGCAGTAGTAGTAGTAGTTATAGTCGTAGTAGCGCCAGAACCGCCGACGCCACGACGTAAGTGAAGCAGCTGCAGAAGCAGGCAGCAAGTCGCCGAGGCAGCAGCAAAATCAAGCAGGCACGGAGATGAGGGCGGGGCACTCGGGAGTTCTAGACCTACAACTACATCCTCACCTACAACTACATCTACATCTACACATGAATCTACATCTCCAGATACATCAACAGCGAGATTCACATCTACATCTACATCTACAGCTACATCTACACCTACATGTACATATACATCTACACCTACATCCACATCTACACCTACACCTACATCTACATCTACATCTACACTTTCGCATTGGTGTTGCTTTTGCTTTGCATTGCCTTTGCTTTGCACACGCACACACACACACGTGCAGCATTACATATGGGTGTTATGTATATATACACATACATTTGCATATATTGATAGACATTTAGGACATGCGATAATACGTCGGGTTTCATGTCTCCCGGCCGGTGCTATGTGCGAAACCTTCGGGAGTCCTAAGGGCTCAAGCTGCCCCACTAAGGGCTCAAGATGGCCCACAGACGGACAACATGCATGGAACATACGTGAGCACACACATATATATATATATATGTATAAGTACATATATATATATATAGCAGCAGCAATAGTGGATGTTGTCCTGCGCTATGCTATGCTATGCTATGCTATGCTATGCCATGCTATGCTATGCTGCGCAATGCTGTGCTGGGCTAGGCTAGGTTAGGCTATGCTATGCTATGCTATGCTGCGCTATGCTATGCTGCGCTATGCTATGCTATGCTATGCTATGCTATGCTATGCTATGCTTTTGATGTGCCTTCACTTGTGCCTTCACTTTTGCCTTTGTGTTTGCTTTTGCTTGGCACCCAGGGAGCGCAACTGGGGGAACCGCGCGTTTGTTTTTACCTTTGCTGTTGCTTTTGCTTGGCTCCCAGGGGACTGGGGGAACCGCCCGGGGCGGTTTCCATTGCCCGGCCCCATTAAGCGAAGAGAGTAAGAACCCTTCTAGGCAGAGCCTAGGTAGGGAAATAATTATCCCAGAGCGACCCTACCTAGGAGTTGGAGCATTTAGGAAAGCAACATCTACATCTACACCGACAGCTACAGTTACATCTACACCTGCATATATGCTATGCTATGCTATGCTATGCTGCGCTATGCTATGCTATGCTATGCTATGATATGTTGAGCTATGATATGCTATGCTATGCTATGATATGCTGTGCTGTGCTATGTTATGCTATGCTATGCTGTGCTAATGCTGCGCTGCGCTATGCTGCGCTGCGCTAAGCTAAGCTAAGGTAAGCTAAGCTGTGCTAGGCTAAGCTAAGCTAAACTAAGCTAAGCTAGGATAGGCTAAGATAAGCCAAGCTAAGCTAAGCTAAGCTAAGCCAAGCCAAGCCAAGCTAAGCTAAGCTAAGATGAGATATGATCTAAGCTAAGCTAAGCTACTATGAGGTAAGCTAAGCTAAGCTAAGCTAAGATGTGATAAGCAACACTAAGCTAAGCTAAGCTAAGCTAAGCTCAGCTAAGCTGAGATAGGCTAAGCTAAGCTAAGATGAGATAAGCGAAGCTAAGCTAAGAAAAGCTAAGCTAAGCTAAGCTAGGCTAGGCTAGGCTAGGCTACGCTCAGCTATGCTAAGCTAAGCTAAGCTTAGCTGAGCTAAGCTAAGCTAAGGTAAGGTAAGCTAAGCTAAGCCAAAGCAAAGCTAAGCTAAGCTAAGCTAAGCTAGGGGAACCCAGGGGGCGCAACTGGGGGAACCGCGGGGCGGGGACTGGGGGAACCGCCCGGGGCGGTTTCCATTGCCCGGCCCCTTTAAGCTAAGAGAGTAAGAACCCTCTAGGCAGAGCCTAGGTAGGGAATAAGAACCCTTCTAGGCAGAGCCTAGGTAGGGAAATAATAAAACAAACGACGCCCAAAAATGCCCAGAAATGGTGGAAAAATCGTCCCTAGACTATGTGTTGACTCTGTTTGAATCTTCCTCCTGTAGAGGGACACACCCGACTTAAACCCTCTGGCTGGGTTGTGGCCCCCCGCCAGGGTGACAAAAAGGTCCCCTCCGATGGGACGCGCCCGGGCTGTTGTTCGAGGCTGACCCTCTGGTAACTCTCTCGCGTTCCTACTTTCAGGAGCGCGCGATACTCATCCTCCTCCTCCTCCTCCTCCTCCTCCTCCCTCCAATTTCTCCTCCTCCTCCTTTTCCTCCTCCTCCTCCAATTTCTCCTCCCCCTCTTCTTCCTCCTCCTTCTCCTCCTCCTCGTCCTCCTCCTCCTCCAATTTCCCCTCCATCCTCCCCCTCTTGAGGTACGACTGTTTCCAGAACCCCCTATTCCACTGCATTCTCCGCTAGATCCCTGACCAGGACATCTCGCGTGGGCATTCTGAATGGGCTGGCGGGATTACGCAGAGCGTCTAGAATATAAGTTGGTGTGCGCGTTGCGCTGCGAACCGATGCGCCTCCTCGTTTTCCCCGTGCATGCTGTGATCTGCTGATTCGGCGTCGCAAGGAACGGGCACAACAGGTGGAACAGTGCCGCGACTGCAGCGATGGCCTCGCATCCCTGGAAGGCCATCATCACATAGCACCACGCTATAAACGAAAAATAGCATCAACGTCTCAACAGCGCCAAGTGGCGAATCCCGTGGGCGAGACCGAGCTCACCTAAAAAATCGACTCGCACAAGGCGTGTCATAGAGCGTCTTGGCAGACCCGCGGGCTGCAGATAATGAACATGGCGCGACCCCAGCTAGAAGCTGTCTTCTGACCTCATACAAGCCAAGGCCACCTCTCCCACGAACTTCAACAAGAACCCTTCGGTACAGCCTAGTTGAAGACAAGCGTAGCCAACGGTTACTGGCAGTGCCCAGCGCACGCGGCAGTGCGCACACTTTGCTCCAACATCCGGGCCCGACGTGCGGCACGAGCACCCTCCGTGCTAAACAAGCACTGCCTCATAAAGACCAGGGCATTTCGGCTGCCGAGCGGCCGCGGTGGAGCACTGCCAAACTGAAAGCCCCAGCAGACGCGGCTTCTCTTGACCGGCTCAGATCGAGTGCCGGCAGGACAGGGTGAAACAGAATGACAGCAACAGCGTGTGCCGAAAACGCTCGGCGGTCCGCACGGATACCTGGGTCGGCTCTGGACCCCCTCTCCCTTAACACACACACACACACAAACAAACAAACAAACAAACACACACACACACACAAACACAAACACACACACACACACACACACAATTTTTGGTCGCGGCGCTGACTGTCGCTCAGCGCGGGGGGACTCAGATCGGGCTGCGGAACGGCAAACTGCGGACTCAGATCGGGCTGCGGAGGGCGGGAAGAGAAGTGGGCGGCCGCGGACAGGAAGTCTTTGGCGCTGGTGCTGCGGCCCAGGCTACTTACGGGGCGGCCCAGGGGCTGCACGGCACGAACCTGCCAGGGCGGCAGGGGACGAAGCCCGCGCGGTCCTCGAGGATACTGGGCCCTCGACGGGCGCCGAGTCCCCACACCTGCACACGTTGTCCGTCGCGGCGCGGCAGAGGCGATCCGCTCGCGCGTCGAGCAACCCCGGCTACGGCGAGAGGGACTGTCCCGCGTCCAAGGGGGGGGGGGAGAGAGAGCCAGAGCGGCCGCGGAGGGGGAGGGGGGGACGCTCCCACGCGGCGGCGCCGAAGGGAGCGCGCGGGGCTGCCACGCTCCCTGGCAGCCCCTGCCAGCGGCGCGGGGCGGCGTCGCGTGCGCACCCGGGGGTAGGGCCACACACCACACACACACACACACACACACACACACACACACCACACACACACACACACACACAACACACAACACACACGCACACGCACACACACTCTTGTCAGCGGCGACCCGGGTCCAAGACGCGGTCAAAGCGACAGAACATACACACACACACACACACACACACACACACACACACACACACACGCACGCACGCACGCACGCACACGCACACGCACACGCACGCACACGCACACGCACACGCACAACCACACGCACAACCACACACACGCACGCACGCACAAGAAGCGCACGCCGCGCCCTGTGCGCGGCGCGGGAGGCGCCGCTGGGGGGCGGCGAGCACGGGGGCCCAGCGACGCCCCAACGGATCCGCACGGGCCGCCGGAGGGCTGCGGCCGAGAACTCCTGCTTGGCCTTGCGAGCGGCGGCGGCCACGACGACACGCAAGGCCGTGCGAGCGGGTGGCGTGTCGCTCCACTCCGCGGGGTGGGCCGGGAAAGGCTCAGGACGTGGACGATCGGGAACTGGGGCGCGCTCCGCGTGTCGCGCGCCGAAGCGTGGTTGGTCAGAGCCGGCGCCGCGACTGGCCAAGCCAGAGTTCCTGGCCGCAGGCTGGCCCTTCTGTAAGATGACCTGGATTCGCCCTGCAGCGTCGAACATGCACCTGCGATGTGCCCAACCCTTTCTACACATGTGGCGACGAAGCACAGGACCGAACAATATTTTTTGGGTCTGCGGGTCGAGAGCGAGCCTCTTCCGGTTAAGAGCTAGGCGGGCCGCGCAAAGCACTAACTGGGGAGACAGGGCGCGGGCGGGCGGGGCCTCAGGCGGCCGGAGGGCGCGGGGTGCAGGCGGTGCTGAAGAGCTTGCACAGGAAAAGGTACGCCTTGGACAGGAGCTGGAGGCGAAGTAGGACCGATCAATACAAACGCACATGATGTTACATATTGCACACTTCGCAGCCCCCCAGGGAGACGCGAGGTCTCAGCTGGGTGCGCTTACCACTCAACTCCGCTTGGCCTCCCAAGAGCCCTCGAAAGGGGCGACGGTTGCGCACTTCGCAGCCCCCCAGGGAGCCGCGAGGTCCCGGCTGGGTGTTTACCACTGCACTCCGCTTGGCCTCCCAGGAGCCCACGAAGATGGCGACAGCTGCGCACTTCGCAGCCTCCCAAAGGAGCCGCGAGGACTCGGCTGGGGGTGTTTACCGCTTTCTTCCGCTGGGCCTGCCAGGAGCGCACAAAAGTGGCGACAACTGCGTCTAACAATCTTCCAGGCGGAGGATGGCGAGGTTTCTGGGGTCTGCGCGTGACCCCAAGGTGCTGGCTCACCCAGCAGCCTTCAAAAGTGGCGACAGTTTCACACTTCGCAGCACCCCCCGGGATGACGAGGTCTTTGGGGGGTCTGCGTGGGATCCCGTTGTGCTGCCGCCCCCAGCAGCCTTTGAAAGTGGCGACGGTTTCACACTTCGCAGCCCCCTCGAGGGATGTCGAGGTCTTCTATAGGTCTGCGTGGGACCCCACTATGCTGGCTCCTGCAGCCCTCAAAAGAGGCAACAGTTCGCACTCCACAGCCCCCCAGGAATGGCGAGATCTTTTTGGGGTCTGCGCGTGACCCCACTGTGCTGGCTCACCCAGCAGCCCTCGAAAGTGGCGACAGTTTCACACTTCGCAGCCCCCCCGCCAGGAATAGCGAGGTCTTGTTTGGGCCTGCTTGGGACCCCGCTGTGCTGCCCCTGCCCCCCCCCCAAGCAGCCCTCGAAAGTGGCGACGGTTTCATACTTCGCAGCACCCCGCGGGATGGTGAGGTCTTTATTGGGTCTGCGTGGGACCCCACTGTGTTGCCGCCTCCCAGAAGCCCTCGAAAGTGGCGACGGTTTCGCACTTCGCAGCCCCCCCAGGGATGGCGAGTTCTTTCTTGGGTCGGCGTGGGACCCCGCTGTGCTGGCCCCCCCAACAGCCCTCGAAAGTGGCGACAGTTGCACACTTCGCAGCCCCGAAGAGGGATGCGAGAGGAGAGGGCCGAGAGGAGAGCGGGGGCGGGGAGGAAAAGGTGAAGGGAGTTGGCGATCCCACTGCTCTGTTCAAAACGAGAACCCAGCCAAGGGAGGGCTGGGAAAAAGGGGAGGAGCCCTGTCCTCCCAAAGCGGCACGCAGGTCGCCGTACCTAATCGCCAGGGGCGATGACCGCAAGCGAGCTCACTCCCTGCATTGGATCTACAAGACCAGATCAACATGAGAAGACAAGAGAAGCCTCAGGCCCACCTCTTTCATTCATTGGTGGTTCTGCACTACCCTTCTCACGACAGCGGGTTCCGTGCCACAGCAATGCCCCATGTTCCTCCATCCCCTTCTCCTGAAGCTGCCCCCAAGCATAGCTCGCGCAGGTTCGACATTGAGCTCAACTGATTTGCGGTCGCTGGTCCACAGATCCTGGGCCTGGCGCGCGGCTCCTACTTCACGCTGCATGAATTCATGTGTCCGCATGCAGAGAGTTGCTCAGGCCGCTTCGCAAGCCTCGAGATGCGCTCTTGAAGTTGCTTGAAATGATCAGAATCGCGGAGCCTACAGAGATGAAGAGAGGAGGAGGAAAAGGAGGAGGAGGAGGAGGAGGAAGAGGAGGGATGAGGAGGAGGAGGAGGAGGAGGAGAAGCTCGACGGCGCAGCCTAATTAAGCAGTCTCGCAGAGATGAAGAGAAGAGGGGAAAATGCAGAAGGCAGGATGGCGGCAGACGCAGACGAGTGCTCGGCCCGCGCACAAGAGCGCTTGAAACGATCGCTCCTCTCATACCCGCACATGGTGCCAGCGTGATCCCTGTCAGCGACTATGTGCAATGCATGTGCATACCTACATATATATATATATATACATATGCATACACATGCATACAAACGCACTGCTCGATGAAAACTATTCACAGATTCCCTAATCAGTGCTTGCACTGAAGCGATCCTAACGGAGATTGAAAGATTTGGCGAGAATGCCAGGCCGATGTCGGTGGGCGGCCGGGTTCCTGGGTTCCCGGTTCCGGGTTCCTAAGTTCCAGAGTTCCCAATTCCAGGTTCCGGGCCAATTTCGGTGGGCGGCGGGGTTCCCGGGTTCCCGGGTTCCTGGACGATCTTCTTCTCGATCGGTCTCATCATCGATCTCATTACCCACCTCTCTATCGATCCCAAGATCGATCTCACAGTCGATCTCACTATCGATCTCATGATCGATCCCACTATAGATCGCACGAGCGATCTCACGATCGATATCACGATCGATCTCATTGAACCGACTTCACTATCGTTCTCACAATCGACCCTACAAATCGTCCTCACTATCGATTCCACGGTCGATCTCACAATCGATCTCAATATCCATATCACTAATTTTCAAACCATCCACTGATTGGGGTTTTTCTCTGGCGTTGTATACTTTAACCATCGTGCACGCGCGCTCAAGTTTTAGAAGAAGTCTGGGCGAAGCCTACTGTAAAAACACGAGGTCCTGCGGCAGTAAGACGCTGTAAGCCGAACGGTCTTGCATGACTCCAGGGTAGCCATGGAGGCCTCGTGGGCTGTCTCAGTCCTTCGTTAGACTGCCTTCGGGCCATCGGGGAATGGTTTGGCAATCATGGGCCGAGTTGGGGGGCACCTGGGTCACTCTTGGGCGGCTGGGAATTCAGGAGGGTGAGAACGTTCATGTGTGCCAAAAGCACCACGGGAACCGCGGCGGCGACTGCGTCGAGGGCGAGACGAGGCGGGGGAGAAGCGGGAGGGGGACGTGGAGCGGGAGAAGGAGGAGGACCAAGACGAGAGAGAGAGAGAGAAACAAAAAAAGGGAGACCGGAAGGCGAGAGATGGGGGAGCTGGAAACGACGTCTTCGGCACGCCAGCGCTGCGCACAGGTACACACGAAGGGGGGCGAACTTGACAAAACAGGGATTGTGGGAGTCCTCGGTTTTTTTTCAAGTTGCCAGACTCAGTACAGCAGGAAGCGTGGCCAGGGAGGCGGGGAGAGACAAGTGAAGGCGAAATGGGGAGGAGGAGGAGGAGGAGGAGGAGGAGGAGGAGGAGAAGGAGGAGGAGGAGGAGGAGGAGGAGGGAGGAGGGAATAATGATGAGAGAGGAGTCGCCTCCTCCGAATTCGCTGCCATCTGGGATGTCTCGCGGCAGTCTCACAGGGACGGCTTGGGGGCGTCTGGGAAGCTTTCCTGGGTTCTCGTGGGGGCGCCTCTTGGACCTCCTGGAGCCTCTTGGGGGCCTCTTGTGGGCCTTTTGGGGATCTCTGGCGGAACTTCGTGAGGGCATCTTGGAGTTCCGCGGCCTGCTGGATGCATATTGTCATGGCCTGGGGTTCTCGTGGGGGCGGTTTTTGGATGTTTAGGAGTTTTTTCGTTGTTTTGTGGGTTTGTGGGGATTTGTGGTGGAATTTCGTGAGGGTATTTTGGAGTTCAGCGGCCTGCTGGATGCATACTGTGATCCCTTGGAGGATCTCTCGAAGGTCTCGGGGCTCTCGCGGGGAGCTCTTGGGGACCGCTGGGCGGCCTCTTAGGGGTTTCTCGAGGGTCTCTGGGCGTGCTCTCGGAGGCATGCAGGGAGGGACTCTTGGGGCCTGCTCTGCTGTGGAGTCTTCAAAGCCCAGAAGGGGAGAAGAAGGAGAAGGGCGTGAAGCGGGAAGCAGGAAAGAAGTCAGATGGGGACGGACAGGGAGAGATGGGAGAAGCGGAAACGCATTCGGGGAGAGGTGGAGGGTCGAAAAACATGCAGACTCCGTGAGGCTGGGAGTTGGGTGAGGAGGCGGAGGAAGGAGGGAGTGAAGGAGAGATGAGGCGGAGGAAGCAGGGAAAAGGACACAGCGGGAGAAAGGAGGAGGAGAGAGGAATCAGTGAGGAGGGAGGGATGAGGAGAGAGGATGTCTCGTGGCAGTCTCGCTGGGGCGGCTCTGGGGTGTCTTCGAAACCTTCCTGTAGCCTGTTGCGGGCGTCTTGTGGGGTCTCGTGGGGCCACCTAGGGGCCTCTTGGAGGTCTCGGGGGGCTCTCGGGGGGCTCTTGGGGCCTCTCGGGGGTCTTGGGGGCTCTCTGGGGGCTCTTGGGGGCCTCTGGGAGGCTTCTTGGGGGTGTCTCGAGTGCTCTCTGGGCTTCTGAGAGCCTATAGGGGGCCTCTTGGGTCGCTCCTGGGAGCTTTTTGGTACCTCTTAGTAGCCTCTTGGGGGCGTCTCTGGGACGCATCTTGGGGTTATCTCGGGGATCATGCGCAAGCCTCGAGAGCGCATCGGAGGCGAAAATACGAGAGCGCAACAATCGTTGAATTTTGAAGTTGTTCAATGGTTTGTGCCTGTGGAGGGCTTCGTTGGAGGTCTCTTGGGCGGTGTCGGGGGCCTCTTGGAGGCCTCTTGGCACTGTCTTGGGCGCTCGCGGGGGTCTCGTGGCCGTCGGGAAAGTGGCCTGGGCCGTCCGAAAGCCCCTGTGGAGGTGTCGCGGAGCCGTCCTGGGCCGTCTCCAGGCCTTCCTGGGGCTCCCTGGGAGCACCCGGGGTGCGGTGCCGGGGATGTGCCGCAGATGTTCCCGAGGTATGGGGCACCCTGGTGGGGGCACATAAACTCATAGCGTATATGTTGGCCAGCGTGGACCCCAAACAGTTTCTCCTGTCAGTCTACGTACATGGGGTGCCAATCTATGTGGTGCAGTGTATGTGGCGTGAGCTATATGGTGCAAGCTATGTGGTGTAATCGATGTGGTAGAAACTGGCGTGCTCATCTGTGTGGCGTGAGCTACGTGGTGCAAGCTACGTGGTGCAGTAGATCTGGTGAAATCTATGCGCTGCAATCGACGTCGTCTCCGTCAGCCGTCGTCTCCGTCGTCCCCTTTCCCTGCGCCAGCCTCCTCAAGCTTGTCAGCGAGAGAAAAATCTGGCAATGTCGTAATCGAGTCGAAAAGAAGCCCCTTCCCTTTGATCCCTCCCCCGCCAGGGGGGGGTCCCGGGTCAGATACGCATCCCCCCTAGTACCAAGACAGGCCAAGAGTGTCCCAAGACGCCCCCGAGACGGCCCAAGAAGGTCCCCGATCGCCAAACGGTCGGTCCAAAACGCCTTCATGCCCTCCAGACTGCCCAGCAGGCCTCCAGGACGCTCCAAGAAGCCTCCAAGAGCACTCCCGAGAAAGCCTCAAGAGGCCAAAGTCATGAATTGTCCGTCGGTTTTTTTTGACTTGGGCGATCTCGCCTTTTCCACTTCCCGCCGCTCCAAGACGGCGCTAGAGGCCCCCAAGATACGGCCCAAGAGGCCTCCAAGAGGGCCCCAAAACAGCCCAAGAGGACCCGAAGACAGCCCAAAGCGCCTCCAGGAGGGCCCAAGAGGCCCCCAAGACGGCTCCAAGAGCGTGCCCTGACGGGAGACCCGAACAGACATTTCGAGCCCTCGGCCCCGAGAGACTCCCAGAAGGTCCCAAGAGGTTCCCAAGAGGCCCCAAGAGGCCCAGAAGAGGTCCCCGAAGAGGCCCCCAGGAGGCTCCCAAGAGGCCCCCACGAGACCCCAAAAAGGCCCCAAAAATCCTCCGCCGAGGCCCCCGAGAGCCGTCCGAAGAGACCCCAATGAGCATCCTTGAGGACTCTTGCCCACGTCAGCATCGTCGTCGTCGTCGCCGCCGCCGCCGCCGTCGTGGTCGTCGTCGTCGTCGTCTCCCTTCAGGGTTGGCGACATCAGGCGCGAGGCCTTCGCAGTCTGTGCGCTGCAGCCGATTGCAATCCCCTGCAGCCGATCGATTGCACTGCAGCGGATTGCCATCGATCGATCGGAATGCAATCCACCGGATTGGAACCGATTGGATTGCCATCGACTGGACTGCAGCATGGGGGCGCCACGGGGCGGCGGGCCACGGGCGGCGCCGAGGCGGGGACGAGGCGACGGCGGCGGCGGCAGCGCGGCGGACCCCGCGAGCGAGGCGAGCCCAGACGACGGGCGCCGACGAGGCGGCGACGGGGCAGCGACGGGGCGGCGACGGCGGCAACAGGGCGGCGGCTCCGACGAGCGAGCCCAGACGACGGGCGGCGACGGGGCGGCGACGGGGCGGCGACGGCGGCGGCGACGGCGGTAACAGGGCGGCGGGCCCGACCAACGAGCCCAGTTCCCTGGAAGACCAATCAAAACCCCTCGGTGCAATCCCTGTTCGGGGAATCTCCGCTGGCCCCCTTGTGGGGCCACAATGCTCCGCGGAGTTGGCTTGCTGCTCCCTGCTACAGTTCCAATGTCAAGTCTCCCAAATGAAAATCCTACCTTCTACGTCCTACTGCAACTTGTTAAAATCCGCGCGACGGGGGGGGCCGAAAAGAGCCCTGGTTACCACCACCTG